GGAAATTCGTTGGTCCGAATTTTTGAGCGAATGATATTTGACGAAGAATCGGCGGTGCAAACGGTGCGTGAGTAATCGTAGTCCAAATAAAGAAGTCATGATCCTTGCAAGTGACGGGGCGTCGATTGGAGTGCAGTCAGGGCAGCCTTCCCAACCAGTGATGCCATCCTGAGCTCGCTAGAACTGGTAGGAAGGCTGCCCGCCACACGCCCTATCGTTCGCAGCGATCACGACTGTATGTCCCGTAATTTGGTTATCGCCGCTGAAAGGAGCAAACATCAAAGACGATCCGTGCGCGCCTCATGGGCCACCATAAGTGAGAAGAATCTGCAGGATCATTTGCCTTTTGCAGGTCCATCGTCTATTCATCGTCGTCTGCCGATCGTTCGATGATCAGTCGTTTGAACAAATTCTTAAACCCCTTGTTGAGCTGCTCAGTTGTGAGTCATCAGTAAAGGTTGGTTCAGTACTAGTCATTTTGCAAGTGGAACCTTCGTTCTTTGGTTTCGTGATAATAAACCCTGGAAAGACAGAGCTGACTTTGAGGATAATTAGTTTTTTTCACTACATGACCCGCTTTCCATTTCATAACCACAAGGCGGGGATTTGATTCATATTCACACTTTTTGGATGCTCATTCCGTGACAGTCGGGTGGGCGGAGACTGAGAACCGTTGTGTTTTTCCCATTGGTGCGTTCCTCCTGATGCGATTAAGAAGAGGAGCGCGCTCATGGGGAAAACGCGATGGTTATAACGCGACGCGTTCCCCGCCTACCCGTTTATCGTAGGTGAATTGGTAAGCCCAGAGCCGAGGACTTCATATTGGTACGCGCTATCTGAAAGCTTCTCTGGCAGCCGCTGAACGATAAATGAAAGATTTGATTCTAAGTAGGATCCTATCCTGTGAATCGCTGGTGATGACGTGTTGGTAAATTTCTGAATGAAAGAGGCCCCGTATTTTACCTACATTTAGAACCTTATGCGCTTGTTGGCTTGGGAGGGGCATTCCGCACTTCCACTAGTTCCTTTTCCTGGTTCATGTTAACCGATAGGTCTCATTTTGGTGAGACCTGTGAACTCTTGTGAAACTGCAAAGCGGTACAAGAAGCAACTGTGGTCAAGAATTT